CTCATCAGAGAAGAGGACTTTCCCTGCGTGTGGGTCTGGACGGCGGACTGGAGACCAGCCGCCTGCATTTTTACTGCGTGACCCTCCTCTACATCCTGCCCGAGACAGGACCTTCCACTCACAGAATAGGCATGAGGACCACATGACGTGACAAAGATAAGAAATACCTTAAATACCTATGTCAGTGTTATTTGTAACTGCTTTTAACAGACTGCGAACCAGGTCGGTTATGCTGATGGAAAGTGAGCTCCCAGCCCCTAGAGACACGGAAGCAAAGAACAGAGGAAGAGCTGGGCGTGTGGGGGTCCCACAGAGAAGCTGTGGCACTGCCTGCAAGACGGACTGTGAGCACCACGAACCTGTCCACCCCTACACCAGCGATGAGGGTCGGGAGGAGTGCGCCACTAACCCTGGTGAACAGGAACGAGAGGCGGCCACCCAGGAGCAGGGGACACATCTCACAGCCCGATGGTCCCCGTGATTCGCAATAAAGGACACGCGCCCCACATGTCAACTCCCCAGGGCCCAGTCCCTTTGGGTGAAAAGCTCTGCCTTCCAGGGGCAGCCGAGGAGCCCACGGAGCTGGGACGGAGCTGGGGCGGGCCTGACGCTGCCAGATCTGACTCAGCCGACACCAGTTACATTCACGGGGACCCGTCTTGAAACGACATGTGAACAACAAACCACAACCATGGAAATCCTGCCAAGTTCAAATCCAGTCCTCTTACCCTGGGGTTTCCAATGGGGTCAAGGGTGGGGTGGGATTTGCTCGGAAACATGTCATTTTCACTTTGTTTACAACAAGGAAAATGTTCTTGAAGAGCGGCAAGGGGAAAGCAAAGGAAAGGTCTCGTTACTAATCAAGGCAAACCTCGCAGGGACCACGAGGAATTCTGCTGGAAGCAGCAGCTGAGACACGGTCAGAGGAGGAAGAGGCGTCAGACACTCCGTGGCCAGGAGGGGAAGGGGAGCAACGGGCCTGCTGGCGCTGCACATAAATAAGGAGACTCTACGATGAATTAATTAAGAGCAACCAAACGTCCTACAGAAAAGGAACACTTAATTACCGCGCATTGAGCCAGTATCAGACGCAGCCATTAAAAATGGTGATTGTGGAGACTAATTCAAAATACAAAAAGTCTGTGCTCTGAAGCCAAGGAAAGTAGGGGTCATGCATACAGCTTCGTAAAATTTTCCGTAGGAAAGACCAGAAAGGAATAAGCCACACACAAAAAAAAAAAATGGTTATGGTAGGATTAGAATACATTTTCCCTCTTGTTTCCAAAGTTTCTGCAACATTGTAAAGCATTTTATGATTGAAAACAGTCTTTAAAATAATGCTTTCAAAGTGAGAGAGAGAGAAAAAAAAAGAGCCAGTTGGTTACACAAAAAGAGGTGAGAAAAAGGATAGTAAATAAACTTGGTCTGATTCCTTCATAGATCAAAGATCAGGATGGTGTGTCAAGATGAAAGGGCAACAGAGAAACGAACGCCTAGCATGCGTGTGGTGCTCTATGGTTTGTAAGGGGCCTCTACACACATTACCCGCCCCTCCCGCGCCAGGCAGCCAAGCAGCTCTCCTGTGCCCTGTTCACCTGTAGGCCAATGAGCGGCCAGCCCCCCACCCGACGCCCCGGCCCCACTCGACTCCCCTGGTCTTAAGTTTCCACAACCCACGAGAACCAGTGGTGCAAACACCATCAGACCAGGGCTGCCTATTGCTCCCAATGGTCCATCGGCCCCTCACAAGCCGCCTGGGACAAGCGAGAGCCGGCAGGAAGCAGAGGCAGGGACGGGCCTGGATGCTCCATGCCAGGAACACCCCTCCACGCCCCCACCCCCCGCCACCAGGCTGCTCCCTGACGTTGGGCCCTAAACCCTCTTCCCGTTGATTCTGCGCACTCTCCCTGGGAAACCCCTCAACCTCACTATGGTTTGGGTGCCCAAACAGCCTTTCTGCTATAAAATAAAGCTGTATTTTTCAGGGGGTCCTTACCCTTAACTTGCCACAGACTCATTCCTCTGACGGCCGGGAAGAACCTAACAGGTGTGTATGGGCAATGTGAGCGTCTCAGGAGCAGCCACTGGCCACAGGAATGCTCCCCGCCCCCATCGTCCCCTTCATCCTCTCCCATCAGCTGCTGCCTGGCCCTGCCCTCAACACCCCCCTC